CCTATGATGTAATCCTCCGACTGACTGCTCACGAACTCCCCCAGGTCGCTGAGGATGCCCCCGTTGGAGGCGTCGAGCCCCACGGAGTGGTGAAGATAAAGAGAGACCAGCAGTAACGCTGGGCTGTCGGGAGCGTGACACTTGCAGGCTAGGCAGCGGCCCCTAGCGATGGCTGGGGAAGGCACGGAGTGGAGCCCAAGCCAAGACCTGGCAAAAAATAGCCACACCAGCACTGTCTCCACCTTGCGGGCCTGGAACTGCAGCAAGCCAGATGGACTTCCAGCCCGCGCGAATCGCAGAGGAAGAGGCACGGTCTATCGACTCAGGGTCCCTGAGGCGGTGTTCTTGGCAAAGGATGATGTGAGCCGAACAGTCGGGATCCTCCAAGAAATCTTTCATCGTGCCCCACTTGTTGCAATTAACAGACCAAACCTCCAAGGCCACACTGACGATGCCCCTTTGGTCCTCACCTGGGTCCTGGGCCCTGGCCAAATTGGGGGGAGAGAAGCAGCTGGACTTGCCGACTGGCCAAAGTGAAATGGGCTGAGCAACGATCGGACTGGCAGACAGAAATGAGCTAAACTCCCTTTTCAGCCTCCTGCTGGTGGCAGGCGTACAAAAGCTCCTGGGAACATCGCTAGGAACACTCATCCAAGCGTGAATCTCCAAGAGAAAACTGTCAAGCTCAGCGAAACTGCGATTCAAAAACGGCAATTACTCCGACGGAAGGACCCCACATGATAATATGTTTAGCTTTCCCTTATCCCTTTCCTCCCGGCCATGGCAAACACCCTCGTATCGCCCTCTCCTCTGCCATCTTTTCCTCTTCTTCTATTTCCCCCCCCCTCCTTCTCCTCCTCCTCCTCCTCCTCCTTCCCCACCTCCTCCTCATCATCGCCCTCCCCATACCCCTTCCGTCCTCATCCTCCTCCTGCCTCTTTTCCACGTGCACGTCCCTTTCCCCCCGGTCGGGGGAAGCAAGTCGATTTTCCTCGGCGCCGTCGCCGCCTCGGTCAGAACGCGCGCGTTTGCCGACGGCCAGATCGCGAAGCCGTCGGGTCAACCCTTCGGGCCAGCCATGCCTGCGGGGCACTCCCGCGGGCCGCCGGAGCGCGAGGGCAGGCCGTCGGGACAACCCCGCGGGCCAGGCCGTTGGGACAACCCCGCGGGCCTCCTCGCGCGCGCCGCGGCGCTCAGGCGGGCGGCAGCACGAAGCCCAGCTCTGCCGCGAGCTGCTCCGCTTCAGCCCTGGAGTCCACCGCTCTCTCGTCGAACTCCTGGAGCGCCTTCCGCAGTGACACCTTTGCAAGTTCCCTCTCCCGCAGCTAGAGACGTCGAACCTTTTCAAGTTCCCTCTCCAGCCCAATCCTGCCACGAACGGGAAAGTGAACCTTTTCAAGTTCCCTCTCCCGCAGCTAGAGAGTGAACCTTTTCAAGTTCCCTCCCCAGCCCAAACGAACGCGGGAGAGTGAACCTTTTCAAGTTCCCTCTCCCGCCGACGACGACAAGGTTGGCCAGCAATTGGACGTGGGCAAGTCGAAAGAGAATATTCAGGCCGCAGGAGCGAGTTCCCCTTCGATCCTCCAAGTGACGACAAGAGACGGTCCTCAGACGGGACTACCCGCACCGCCCACAGACAAAGTTCCCGCTTGATACTTCCCCCTTGTTCAGGCCGCAGGAACTGAGGAGCCCAAAAAGCTCGCTCGGATGACCCGCTCGGGTTCGAACATGAAGTGCGTGCCCCACAGGGATGGAGCGCCCGCCTGATACTTCTCCCATATTCAGGCCTCAGGAGCCCAAAAGCGACGACAGTTACAGGATTCCGGTGGCCCGCCTCGGATTAGTAACATGATCTGGGGGCCCCATAGGGAGGAGACCCCCGCCTGAGACTTCCTCCCAATTCACTCACAGACGAGGCTCCCGCTAGATACTTCCTCGGGATTCACGCCCCAGGAGCCCAAAAGTGACGACAGTTACAGGATCCCGATGACCCGCCTCGGATTGGTAAGATGATCTGCGGGCCCCATAGAGAGAGGCTCCCGCCTGAGACTTCCTCGCAATTCACTCACAGACAACGCTCCCGCCTGATACTTCCTCCAAATTCACGCCCCGGGAGCCCAAAAGTGACGACAGTTACAGGATCCCAATGACCCGCCTCGGATTGGTAAGATGATCTGCGGGCCCCATAGGGAGAAGCTCCCGCCTGAGACTTCCTCGCAATTCACTCACAGACGAGGCTCCCGCTAGATACTTCCTCGAGATTCACGCCCCAGGAGCCCAAAAGTGACGACAGTTACAGGATCCCGATGACCCGCCTCGGATTAATAAGATGATCTGCGGGCCCCATAGGGGGAGGCCCCCGCCTGAGACTTCCTCGCAATTCACTCACACGCGACGCTCCCGCCTGATACTTCCTCCAAATTCACGCCCCAGGAGCCCAAAAGTCACGACAGTTACAGGATCCCGATGACCCGCCTCGGATTAGTAAGATGATCTGCGGGCCCCATAGGGAGAAGCTCCCGCCTGAGACTTCCTCGCAATTCACTCACAGACGACGCTCCCGCCTGATACTTCCTCCAAATTCACGCCCCGGGAGCCCAAAAGTCACGACAGTTACAGGATCCCGATGACCCGCCTCGGATTAGTAAGATGATCTGCGGGCCCCATAGGGAGAAGCTCCCGCCTGAGACTTCCTCGCAATTCACTCACAGACGAGGCTCCCGCTAGATACTTCCTCCAGATTCACGCCCCAGGAGCCCAAAAGTGACGACAGTTACAGGATCCCGATGACCCGCCTCGGATTAATAAGATGATCTGCGGGCCCCATAGGGAGAGGCTCCCGCCTGAGACTTCCTCGCAATTCACTCACAGACGACGCTCCCGCCTGATACTTCCTCCAAATTCACGCCCCAGGAGCCCAAAAGTCACGACAGTTACAGGATCCCGATGACCCGCCTCGGATTAGTAAGATGATCTGCGGGCCCCATAGGGAGAGGCTCCCGCCTGAGACTTCCTCGCAATTCACTCACAGACGACGCTCCCGCTTGATACTCGAGTGAGTGACGGACTGACTGAGTGATGTGTGACGCCAACGGATGATATCCTCATGTGATGATCATGATGAGTGAGTGAGTGCGTGAGTGAGCGATCGAGTGGTGCATGGGTAAGTGTGATGGTGCTGAGGAGGAGAGGCGTGGGTCATGATGATGATGACTGATGATGATGATGGCGAGAAAGAGGAAGAGAGAGAGAGAGAGAGGGTGTGAGATCCTGCGCGGGGGGCGCGCAGAGAAAACAAGAACCCCACTTTGGATGTGGGGAAACATTCACGCACATCAGTGGAATGTTTCCCCCTCCCTTCCCAGGGAGGGGGAGAAGATTGGAAAGCTCGTCTGCAACCAGGGTGCGAATGTCAGGCTCAGGAGGCTCAGGCTGTGACACCGACGAGGACGCGCTCGACGGCCCTGCCCCTGTAGACTGGCCAGAGCCTTCACCTGCAGCAGCTGCCTCGCCTCCCAGCGTCGCGGCGTCTGAGACGTTGCCAGCACCAGTCTTGCGTTTCTTGCCAAGCCTCTCGAGGTGCTTGGTGTGCTGCTCCTTGGCCTCCTTGATTTTTGATAACGCGTCTTGGAACAATGACTTGGCTGCCTCTCGCACTTTCTCGGACAGCTCGTCCTTGCGCTGCTGGATCTCCTTACGGTCTTGCTCCTCGAGGTCGTAGGCGTCGTCAGCAACTTCGAGCACGTCAGTCGAGATGATCTGGTCGATGGAGACGGTGCCGTCCACCAGCTGCTCGAGAGTGACCTGGGCCACCGCAGCGGGTGCAGGCTCAGAAGGCACCTGCTGCTGCAGCTCCAAAACGACTTTCTTGTATGCGGCGTCGGCCTCACCCAACTCAGAATGAAGCTCAGCCGCTTTCTTGCGCTGCTCCTCCAGCTCGGCCCTCCAGCGGTTGAGCTTCGCGAACTCGACCTGAAGTGCCCGCTCCTTGCGGCGGACAGCAGCGTGGGCGGACTGAACCTGCTGCTGGAGAGACGGCGCAGGGGCGGGCTCCGATTTGTCGAGTGAGACGGCGATGGCACGATACTTAGCTGCCAGCTGCTCTTCTCCAGCCGTCGAGTGCAGATCGGCGAGCTGCTTGGCTTCGATGGCGGACAAGCGGGGCACAGGACCAGGCGGCAGAGCTCCGTGTGGAACGTCGGGAAGAGCCGCCGCACGTGCACCTTTGCCTGCTGCTGCAAGCTCAGAGCCCTTGCTCTTGCCCTTCTTGCCATGGCCCTTGCGCCCTCCCTTGCCCTTGCCGTCCACGCGTACAAGTGCCTCAACCTCCTCTTCAGCAGATCCGAAACCTCGCGCCCATGCACCAGAGGCAGGCTGGACAGGGGCGCCTTGAACCTTCGGCAGGTCGGAATGGCAATGCTTGCACCACTTGAAGTGCGGCAGGTTGCGGCGGCAGCCGCAGGACGGACATGCACTCTTGGACTGTGGAGAGTGGTGCACTGCGCCGCCACCTCCCCCCTGCCGAACCCACGGGTGATATACCCACGCGTCAGCGCCGAGAGAAGAAGCGTTGCGCGCCATCGCACACGAGTACAGAGAGTGCTAGAAACGAACGTGATGGTTGAAAAGGTGGGGCAAGCCCCAGTAAGAGTATCAGAAGAACACTGAAGATCGAGATGGGGCCGCAAATCCCCTTGCCACAAAAACTCGAAGTCCTCTGAGCCACCGCTACGGACTTGAGCCAAAATGGCTACGGTGCTCCTCCTCCTCCTCCTCCTCCTGATCCTCCTCCTCCTCCTCCTCCTCATCCTCCTCCGCATCCTTTCTCCTCCTCCTCCTCCTCCGCCTCCTCCTCCTCACCCACACAACCCAGCCCCCCACGACCAGGTCCACCAGACCCCCCCCCTGGGCCCCCTACACACCCCCACCAAACCCACAGCGCGGTGGTGGTGCGATACAGCGCAATGGCATCATGATCATCGTCGACGCGATGGGAATGCCTGGCCGTGACAACGTCCAGCGCTGTCATCCCGGAGCAGTCCGGCATGTCAGGATCAGCTCTGAGCGTGATCAGGAGGGGCATCAAGTCGTCCCTGGCCAATGGAAAAAATAAGGAGCAGGGAGGAGGGAGCAGGACGAAGGGAGAAGGAGCACAAGGAGGACAAGCTGGAGAGAGCGAAAGGCGTGCGAAGCTAGAAAGGACTTATAGAGTGTAAGATAAACCGATGGGGGTGGGGATCTCGGAGAAAGAAAAAGGACTGAACGAAGGGAACAAGATCAGGCAGGAGATGGTGAACCGGGATTGATGTTGCTGCACTGACATAACGCCACCCGAAAGAGAGAGTCACCCAACATTAGGTGAGATGCGGGTGGGCTCCAGTAGCATCGGCGAGCATGGAGTTCAGATGTACGGCACGCACCTTGATCATTGATCGAGCTGTGTGTGCATGCATTGACATGCTTATGTATGTGTGTATATATATTGATCTATGATAATACACATATTATACCGGAGAAAAGCCCAATCATTATCTTTTTAGGGCTATAGGTTTATAGGGCTAGAAGGCTATAGCCCTATAGGGATATAGGGTTAGTGGGCTATAAAGCTAGGGTTATAGAGCTAGAAGGGCTATAGGGCTATAGGGCTACAGGGCAATTGGGCTATAGGTCTACAGGACTATAGGGCTATAGGGCTACGGGGCTATAGGGCTATAGGGCTATAGGGCTATAGAGCTATAGGGCTATAGGGCTATAGGGCTATAAGAGTATAGCCCTACAGGGTTATAGGGCTACTGGGCTATGAGGCTATAAGACCTTTAGGGCTATAGGGTTATAGGGCTATAGGGCTAGAGAGCTATTAGGAATATAGGGCTATATGGCTATAGGGCTATAAGGCTATAGGGTTATAAGGCTATAAGGCTATAAGGCTGTCGTGCTATAGGGCTATAGGGCACCCGGGCAATCGGGCACCCGGGCACCCGAGCACCAGGGCACCTGGGCGTGACGCCGAAATCGGCGCCGCAGCTAACCTAACCATTTGAAACCGCTAGGACCCCTACATAGGCAAGCTCTGATTTGGGAATATAGACATACATATGCCGACACACACATATATATATGGATATATGATTGTCACTGTGTAATTGATATATCTATATATATGCGTGTGTGCATGTTGAGTAAGGTGCGTGTGTGTATGTGTGTACAACGTGTACGGATCAAGAAGTGTATGTAACTATATAGATGTACATCGATATCAATAGATGTAGAAATGTATATGTAAATATATGTATATGAATACGCACATGTACATGAATCGGTATGGGCATAGGCTTTTAAAGAAGGGATAGACAAGAGCAGAACATAGGCGTAGGAGTCCGCCACCGTGCCCCTATGGCACGAAGTGGAGTGTGCCCAGGTCCCTTGCTCAATCTCTGAGCTTCAGCCCTCAATCCTGAGGATTCTGTAAAGTGCCCGGACTCCCGGCTGTCAAATCTTCTTGGGCTCCCATCGTGCCTCCTTGGGTCCGCTGCGGCTTCCCGCATGACTTCTTCGGGCCCAGAAGGGCCCCAAGACGGACCAACAGCGTACCTAGAGGCTCCCAAGACGGTCCAAGAGGGCCCCGAATCGCCGCACGATCGGTCCAAGAAACCCAAGATGGCCCAAGACAGCCCAAGAGGCCTCCGAGGCGCCAAAAGAAAGCACCAAAAACCTTCCCAAGAGGGCCCCGAGAGGCCAAAATCATTGATTTCCAATCGGTTGTTCAATGTTTTTGGAGTCATCTACTGGTCGAGCTTCCTACGCTCCAAGACGGCCCAAGAGGCCTCCAAGGGCCCAGAGACGGCCCAAGAGGGCTCCATGGCGCCGTCCGAAGGCCGTCTCGGGGGCCTCTTGGGCCATCTTGGGCCCGCGTTGGAACTCTCGTGAGGCTCTCTTCGGCGATCCTGGAATAATCGTGAGGCTTGAGAATCCAATCGGAAACGAGAAAGCGGACAACATAGAAAAGCACGATGCTGTGTTTACCATTTAAAGCCCTCTGGAGCGTCCTCGCAAGTCTCCAGGGGGCCACAAGGTAGCTATGCGGGATATGCTTAGGGGCAGTCAAGGGGTCCTCTTGAAGCTTCATAGAGCTCTGAAGCCTCCTGGGGCAGCCCAGGGGCCTCGTAGGAGGAGTGAGCCGCCACCTGAACCATTTTGGAAAGCTCTGGGAGCCGCAACAGCTCCCGGAAGGCCCCAAAAGAGTCCTTGGACGCCAGAGAGAAAGTGGATTGCCCGGGGGGGGAAAGTGGCCCACTCCCTGGGACACAAGACTCGATCGCTGAGTATATTACAATTGCGTAAAGCGATAAGCATATATATATACATATAAGCGTGCACATGCATATATATATATATATATATATATATATATACGTATACGTGTGAATACATCTCTATATATATAGAATACAAGTATGTACACATGTGCAGTATGACAGTGTCCCTGGTCAATGCTTGTCCAGATACGATGTATGACCATAGCTGCCAGTCCATACATCGCGCACAATTCTCATGACATAACGTTTTTGGACCTCAGAGAGAGACGGCGCGTATTCCACGAACAAAAGGGCGCGAAACGTTCCTCGACACGTCGACAACCGCCGATCCTCCCCCACCGCCCCTTCCTAGAATCTCCCGCCCTCGGGAACAGCTACACCTCGTCGCTGAGCTCCGAGGACGTCGGGCCATTCTCAGACGAGATGTCGGCGATGAAAGTTAACACATGTAGAGCTGCGTCGAAGCGCGTGAGATGCCTCGTCGCCGCGCTCGTGGACCACAGCGAAAGACGACAACGACGACGAAGAGACCAGCCGAGTTGATCGATCCCTTGCTTAGAAAAGAGCCACATGACGCCACGGCCATCCCGTCAGGTCGGAAGGATCAGCTGAAGATGTCTTGCGCAGTGGCCACGTGCCCACTCGCAGCCCGAGCAAGAGCGGCTACGGATGATGGTGGCAACGACGACCTGTGTCACCTGAAAACGTCTTGCGCAGTGGCCACGCGCCCACTCGCAGCACGAGCTAGAGCGGCTGCGGATGATAGTGGCGACGACGACCAGTGTCACCTAATTTCGCGGACCGCGCCCCGCGATGCGCGGCGCGCGGCACTCGCGCCGCCGCCCTGGAGAAGGGCGCTTCTCCAGCCCAGGCCGCGGTGTGCGAAGCGTAGCTGTCTTCGCGTCCACGCGAGCGACCTCAACGATCAAGCTGCCGCTGATCACGACGAGGACGATGCGAGAGGCCTCCCAAGTGGGGTCCGAGTAGATGGGGTCGGAGGATCGCGCCGCATCAGCGATGCATCGGCAATGCATCGGCGACGTCGGCGACGCATCCGCGACGCCAGCGCGGAGAAAGTCGGGCTCCACGTCGAGCCGCATTGGCGATGCATCAGCGATGCGGCGCGACCCTCCGACCCCATCTGCAATCGGACCTAGGCCCAGGCCAGAAGAACATCCTTCAAGAGCATGAGACCCTCCGCCGGCCAAAATGAAGAGCATTCGAGGGTACCCTCCCCCAGGATGCACAGGAACATCCGACAAGCACGAAGAACATCAGGTTACCCTCCTCGAACCGACATCGATCTTGTGCCTCGCTCCGACTCTGCTCGGACCCCGTCTGGGAGGCCCAGGGCTGTGGCGCCGCCGCTGTGGGCGCCGCTGTCGCTGGCATCGTCGGCATCGTTCTCGCCCTTTTCCTGGAGGAGCTGAATTGGGAGGAGGAGGAAGAGGAGGAGGAGGAGGAGGAGGAGGAGGACGAGGAAGAGGAGGAGGAGGCGGAGAGAGGGAGGAGGAGGAGGAGGAGGAGGAGAAGCTGGAGGAGGAGAGGAGGAGGAGGAGGAGGAGGAGGAGGAGGAGGAGGAGGAGGATGAGGAGGAGGAGGAGGAGGAGAAGGAGGAGAGAGTGAAAAGAGGAGGAGGAGGAGGAGGAGGAGGAGGGATTAAGAGGAGGAGGAGGAGGAGGAGAGGGGAGGGGTGGAGATGATGATGAGGATGAGGAGGAGAGAGGAGGAGAGGAGGGGGGAGGAGGAGGAGGAGGAGGAGGAGGGCGAGAGGGCCCGCGGCGAGAGGCGGGGCAGGGCCAGCCTGCACAGCTCCGCGGCCAAGTGCAGGCAGGTGGTGTGTTGGGCCTGCCACGAGAGCACTCCGCCCCCGCTGGCGGCCGTGTACAGCACGGCCGCCTGTCCGGCTCTCCCGTCGGCGGCGGGGGAGGGTCAGCTACACCCAGGAGGCAGGAGGGAGGAGGGAGGAGGAGGAGGAGGAGGAGGAGGAGGAGGAGGAGGAGGAGGAGGAGGAGGAGGAGGAGAAGGAGGAAAGGAGGAGGAGGGAGAGGAGGAGGAGGAGAGGAGGAGGAGGAGGAGGAGGAGGAGGAGGAGGAGGAGGACCCTGGGTGAGTGTCCTTTGGTGCGCGGACTTTTGGGGTCTGCGGGTGGCCCAAACACAAGCGCGCAAAACGCCACTATCGCATCGCGTTCGGCGACCAGGGAACCACAAATGGGCTCGCAAAACAAGGTCACTCCAGCCAAAGGTCTCCCTTACGTCTAGTCGAAGGGGGGGGCAGAGGGGCGAGGATTTCTCTCCATACAAGCGAATGATCTTCACACTGAGCGTCCTCGACCGCCGTGCGGTTCAAAGAGTCAAGAGTCGCCCAGACGAGCCGGGAGCAAGCCACGAGCCGGCCTACGATGGGCAAACTCATGAGGTGAACCGTGGCCTGAAAGAGAGCGAGCGCGCGAAAAGTAGCGAATGACCCGCCCCCAGCCGGGGAGGGCGAGGCTTGGCATGGGACAGCGCGACAGTCGAGGGACAAACTTACCGAACACTCAGGAAATCGAACCCTATACACCGACGCTTCTTCCGGCCCTGCATTGGAAATTGCACTGGAGAGCGGATCCTGGTGTATACGGGACCCTGGTGTATACATTTTTCGTTGTTTCCCCCGGACATCGGGGACAACAAGTGTACACCATACCACCCCAGCGTCGTCCTCGACCATCAAGAAGTCCTGGGATTGCAAAACAGCCCGCCACGGGTAATGTATATGTTCCGGTTTCCGAACACTCCCCGCATTCAAGAAATCTGGACCAGCTTCCTAGAGGGCTCTTAACAAGAGCCTGGGCCAATGTCTGCTGTTCCCGCTGGAGGGGCGCAGGTGCTCAGGAAACTGACTAGGCCAGCTTTCCAGCAAGTCGGTCGAGAAACGCTGGCCCAGTTTTTCGGGAGGAGGCTTATTAATCTGACGCTCGTCCGCAACAAGGACGCACGATAAGGATGCGAGGGCATTGGAAGGCAGCGTCGATACTCTGCGAGCGGGGTGCGGCCAGCGAAAGCGGTCGAGGATGGGCCGACGGCGAAGGAAACGAGGGTAACCTGGGAAAGTTGCTCATCCTTACTATGCGGGTTGACTGCACAGGGCGGCAGCAAAACTCACCAGGATGAAGAGGCGAGAACGAGTGAACGCTTGAACGACCAGCGCGGGAGAGAGAGGCATAGACATGGTGATAAACCCCGCCCGTGCACGCCGCCACCGGGACTCGCCAACGGCACGTGGAGGCGAGAGAACGTGCAAGAGAAGAGCAAAAAAAACAAACGACGGGAGAGAGGATGAGGATGGAAAAAAGAATGAGCGAGCAAAGGAAACAGGTCCAGGCAGAAACGGACTGCCGCACACATTCGTTTCAGAGTTTGCAGCAGCTTGGCGAATGGAGGGTGGCTCCCTTTCAAAATGAGGCTCTCGCCTTAGCACCGGCCGCATCTACCTTAAAGGTTTCCAACAATGATTCGTATGGTCGAAGTCCCACGAAGGGGTGTTCTGGCACGATTTAAACTGTGAGGACACAACCGTCACACTAATTCGCGGTGCGGTCGCCCCAAGGATATATGTTCTGGCACGACTTAGGCTTTGTAGGGACGCAAGAAGAGCGCTGATCCACGACATCGAAGTCGCAGGAGCGGTGTTTTGGCATGGTTTAAGGTTCTCAGACGATTGTCTTCTAACGAACTTCTTCCCGCAATGAAGGCAACATCTTTGAAGGGCCCAACAGGGGGAAACTTTGAGGACGGGTTTCTTGCAACATCGTTGATGCATCGTGGGTTTACACTGGCCCTCCTCCTCCTTCTCCTCGTTCTCCTCCTCGTCTTCGTCCTCCTCCATCCCTTGTCCTTATTATTGACTCCTCCCTGTGGCACCCCCAGACGTGCCGGTAGGATGGGCCTGGCGTTTCGCCTGCGGCGACCTCGCCATTCATGATCCTGAAGTTCGAAAATTACAACAGCGTCACGGATGGAGGGCGGTTTTCAAAATGAGGCTGTCGGTACTGCGCCGCGCACGTGCGTCATAAAAAAAAAACTGCAAACGCTTCACGAATGGAGGGCGGGTTGTCTTCAAAATGTGGTTGCCGCCTTTGCGCTGCGCACATGCATTGTGTGTTAAAAATGCAAAGGGGTCACGGATGGAGAGCGGGCCATTTTCTAACTGTGGCTCTCGCCTTTGCGCTGCGCAGACTCGATTGAAAGTTTGCAGACAGCTTCACGGATGGAGGGCTGGCCATTTTCAAGATGCGGTTTTCGCTCAGGCGTCGCGCACATTCGATATAAAAGTGCCTAACACTTTAAGGATTCGTGTGGTCTAAGTCCAAGGAATGGTGTTCTGACACAGTTTCGGAATTTCAGGTCGCAAGCGTCACACTGTTTCGCGGTGTGTTCTGGCGCGATTCGGAAATGTCAGGACGCCACAGTCACTTTGATCCGCGTCGGTGAAGCCGCAGGTTCTGTGCTTTGGCTTGAATGAGGGTTATCGGGGGATTGTCTTTTAGTGGGCCACTTCGACCACAGAAAATTCTCTTGAGGACCTATAAAGGGTGAACTTGGAGGGAGGGTTTCGTGCAACAGGGTTGGTGCACCTTGGGTTTACACTGGCCCTCATGTCCTTCTCCTCCTCCTCCTCCTCCTCCTCCTCCTCCTCCTCCTCCTCCTCCTCCTCTTTCTCCTCCTGCACCCCTCCTCTAACTTACCCGCCCCACCTTCCGCTTGTCTGCCCCACGCGGCGACGCCAGGAGAAAACACGAGGGTAGAACAAGTCGGGATGGGAACCAGTCCTTCTCCCCGTCCTCTGGCGCCAGAACCCAGTTGTGAGAGATGAGATGGATCACTAAAAACAACGGCAACCAGGCACGCGTAGTGAGCGGGATGTCCATTCGAGCGAAATCGTTGATGCACGTCTCGGCGTGGCAGGCCGCGACCATGGGGGGGATGATCCTCTATTTTTCTCGACGACCCCGCTGCGGTGACTCTAACAGAGAAGGGCCCTTCTTGACTCGGCCAGACTTCGGAAAACAGCTGGCGGCGCGATCGCCAGCCTGAGTGGATGTTGCAGCCTTTGACCAGTGAACCCAGCACAACAAATGCCAAGCGAAGGCCATGTTACAGCAAACGGGTCAAACAAAAGTCGTGACGGTTGCTGTAGTCGCTCAGCATACGATTAGCTGCCGCTGTGTTCCTTCGCCCTGTCAGTGAAAGCGATAATCGCGCCATGCGCTTCCCCAGCACGCTCCGCATCCGCGGATCTGCGGAACTGACTGGAAACATTCCCACTATCGTGTCCACGAGGTCACTTCATTGACACGGTCACCACGGCATTGGGGAACACCTGGGTGTGCCCGATGCCCCGAGATTGACATCCATGTTACAACCGTCCTGGTTTATCTCCACTAGGTCGCAACATCAAGCGCTGAGCTGGCAAGATGGCGGAACCTGCCGCGGGCACCAGGATGTCGAGTAAAAATCCAGACGGCTGCATATCAAATCAAATAGTGCTGTGGGCAAGGTGCTGCCGAACTGCTTTCTGGGCACGCCTCCTCCTCCGCCTCCTCCTTCTCCTCTTCCTCCTCCTCCTCCTCCTGTTTCATCCCTCGCCATCAAAAATTATCCCAGTGTGACCCTACCTAGGAGTTGGAGCCCCCAGGAAAGCAGCATTAATAGTAACAGTAAAGCTAAACAAGCTAAGCTAAAGCTAAGCTAAAGCTAAGCTAAAGCTAAGCTAAAGCTAAGCTAAAGCTAAGCTAAAGCTAAGCTAAAGCTAAGCTAAAGCTAAGCTAAAGCTAAGCTAAAGCTAAGCTAAAGCTAAGCTAAAGCTAAGCTAAGCTAAAGCTGAGCTAAAGCTAAGCTAAAGCCAAGTTAACGCTAAGCCAACGCCAAGCTATGATGTTAAATGATGCGCTGTATTATGATATGATAAAGCTAAGCTAAAGATAAGCTAAAGCTAAGCTAAGCTAAAGCTAAAATGAGCTAAGTTAAATATAAGCTAAAGCTAAGCTAAAGCTAAGCTGAAGCTAAGTTCAAGCTAAGTTAAAGCTCGGCTAAAGCTAAGCTAATGCTAAGCTAAAGCTAAGCTAAAGCTAAGCTAAGGCTAAGCTAAAGCTAAGCTAAAGCTAAGCTAATATTAAGCTAAAGTTAAGCTAAAACTAAGCTAAAGCTAAGCTAAAGCTAAGCTATGCTATGATATGCGGCGCTATGCTATGCTATGATATGATATGTTGCGCTATGCTATGCTATGATATGCTATGCTATGCTATGCTATGCTATGCTATGCTATGCTATGCTATGCTGCGCGGTGCGATGCTGTGCTGTGCTGTGCTGCGCTATGCTATGCTATGTTATGCTGCGCTATGCTGTGCTATGCTGGGTTTTGCTATGATATGCTGTGCTGCGCTGTGCTGTGCTACGCTCTGCTATGCTATGCTGTGTTCTGCTATGCGAAAGCTCGGCGAAGCTAAGATGAAGGTAAGCTAAGCTAAGATAAACCTGAGCTAAGATGAAACTAAGCTAAGCTATGATGAAATAAGCTAAGCTAAGGTCAGATAAGCAACGCTAAGCTAAGGGAACGTCACTGGGGGAACCACGGGGCGGATCCTGGGGGAACCGCCCGGGGCGGGGAGCACTGCCTGGCCCCGTAAGCTTGCACGGTAAGAACCCTTCTAGGCAGAGCCTAGGTAGGGAACAATTCCCCTATGTCGCACCTCGAGGCCGATCGAAAGGGCGGGCCGGGCGTTTCACCTGAGATTTCCCCACCACCAACGATCCTGAAGCTTGAAATTTGCAAAGGTTTCACGGATGGACGGCGGTCCACTTTCAAGATGTAGCTCTCGCGTCAGCGCCGCGCAGATTCATCTCAAACAGTTACAAGAGCTTCGCGGATGGAGGGCGGCCCGCTTTCAACATTTGGCTCTCGCCTTAGCGCCGCGCACACTCGTCTCAAACATTCGGAAGGTTTCACGGATGGAGGGCGGTTCCTTTCAAAATGTGGCTCTCGCCTTAGCGCAGAGTTCATTCGTCTTAAGAACATGTAGCAGCTCCAAGGGTTCACATGGTTAATATCCCAGAACACAAGTTTTAGCATGATGTCGGTATGTCAGGGCGCAACTGTCACGTTGATTCGAGGTGTTCCAGTCCCACGAATGGTCTTCTGGCACGGTTGAGGATCGCCAAGACGCAAAGGTATCGCTGATTTGCGGCGTTGAAATCCCAGGAATGGTCAGTTCCGGATTTTCAAACGGTTGTCTTTCAACGGGACAGTTCCCTCAGTGAAAATGACTCCTTGAAGGAGCCTACGAACAAGGAACTTGGAGGGAAGGTTTATTACAATATCGTTGATGAGTCTTGGGTTTACAGTGGTCGTCGTCGTCGTCATCCTCCTCCTCCTCCTTCTAGTCCTCCTCCTCCTCCTCCTCCTCTTCCTCCTCCTCCTTCCTCCTCCTCCTCCAGATCCTCCTCCTCCTCCTCCTGCTCCTCCTCCTTCTCCTCCTCCTCCTCCTCCTGCTCCTCCTCCTCCTCCTCCTCCTCCTTCTCCTCCTCCTCCCCCCTCTGCTCCTCCCAGTGGAACGTGGGGCAGCGGCGCCGCGCGCCTTCAAGCACTCCGGCTCTAAGGGGAGGAGCTTGATGACCTCCACCAAAGCGAGGTTCAGGCACCGCATGTCCTGTGCTCGGTGTGGAGGAGCCTGGCCTCCCTTCTTTCAGCCTGGCCCCCCATCCTTTCCTCGCAACCCTTACAGTCGAGGTTGATTAGTAGGTCAACCCTGTCAAATCAAGGGTATCCTTGTGTCCTGTGTTTCACGGCCCATGCCGTCCACATTATTATGGCAATGTGGCCCTCGGAAGGGTCTTGTGTCCTCTCGCGTGTCCTCGCCAACCAACCTCGACTGTATTTCCACCAACCTGACTCTTCCTTCCTTTCAGAAACTCCTTTTTTCCGTGGAGAAGATTTTTGTGGAACTCCCGTTAATCATCCCTTCGACCGTGTACCAAGTTCTCAACGTATATCAGAGTCCGGTATTCCCTAGCAGCACCTTTTGAGCCAAGGTGGCTCCTAGGAGTGTTCGCGCGTTCTCCTGCTTCTGATCCGCCTGCGCCTTCGGCGTCGTCGCTTAGCTTTTCATGATCGTCGTCGTCCTCCTCCTCCTCCTCCTCCTCCTCGTCGTGCTCCTCCCCCGCATCCACGTAATTATCATTACTGCCCTCGCCCTCCCCCATCCACTACACCTCCTCCTCCTCCTCCTCCTCCTCCTCCTCCTCATCATCATCATCATCATCATCATCATCAGCAGCAGCATCATTATCATCATCAGCATCGTCATCAGCATCATCATGCTCAGCATCATCATCAGCATCATCATCATCGTCATCATCACCAGCATCAGCATCATCATCATCATCATCATCAGCATCATCATCATCATGATCATCTACATGATCATCATCATCATCAGCAGTATCATCATCATAATCAGCATAATCATCAGTCTCGCTTCATCCTGCTATTTGTCGTTTTCTTCCTCCTCCTCCTCCTCGTCGTCTTTCTCCCCATCATCATCATCAGCAGCATCATCATCACTATCATTATCATTATCATCATCATCATCATCATCATCATCAGCAGCAGCAGCAGCAGCATCATCAACGTCATCCTGATCCTCGTGGTTATCCTTGTCCCCTTCGTCCTCCTCCTCCTCCTCTTCCTCTTCTTCCTCCTCCTCTTCCTCCTCCGCCTCCTCCTCATCCTTTTCCTCCTGTTTCTCCGCCTCCTTCTCCTCTTCCGCCCCCTCCTCCCGCATCTCCTAAGATCACTCCTGCTCCTCATCGTCCCCCTCCTCACACGAAACCCTTTATCATGCTCCTGGTGATGCTATTCCACGTCGTTTTTTTCATTATCGTCCCCTTCATCCTGTGCCTCGTCATCGACCTACTCCTCCTTGTGCGTCTCTTCCTCCTCCTCCTCCTCCTCCTCCTCGACCTCATCCTCCTCCTCCTCATCATCATCCTCCTCCTCGTCCTTTTCCTTCTCCTCC